GCTCCCTAGCCTAAAACAGAAAGAAATCTGTAGAAGCTAATTTTCATTAAAAAAAAAATGGCTTAAAAAAAAAAGGCCCAATGACTGAGAAGTTGCAGCTAAGCTTGACAAACATTCCCAAGGGTCTGCTTTTGTGGTACCCTGCCTTGAAGTGGAGGGGAGAATGGGAAAGGGTGAACTTCAGTTAAGCTGAAGGACAAAGACACTCCAACTTCAAACAGCCAGACGGTCTACAGTCTTGTTCTTCAGTAATGATTTAGATTGACACTGTCATCCTACAATCTATAAAACTTTGGTAAAACATACAAGCAAAACTATGAAACAAACAAATCTTTGAATTCCTCTAGTGACAACGTTACATCATCATAGGGAACAGGAAGGGGGACTTCCTCAAGGTCCTCAAACTCCTGGGCACTGAACTTCCAGGACTGTCAGCACTGGCAGGTCTCATGACTGAGCAGAGCCCAGAAGACCGGTGTAGTCGCCACTTTGGCCTTCAGAACTCAAGGGCAGCTACACAGAGAAGAATTCAGTTATTATATTATTATTATTGACATGCGTATGTGTGGGTCCCTTTGCACGCACATGTTTTGCATCAGGGGGACACCAAGCTCCTGACTATCTCCCTTCTCTTTCCCTCTCTTCCGCATCAGCTGAGGTGGCTGTCAACCCCACACCCCACCCTTCTCTTCAGCATCCAGAGATCCATTACTAATGTCGGGCTGTCTTGCCCTTCTCTGAACCACATGCTAGAGTCCCAGAGGACTCTGAAAAGGATGCTGCTGCCTCTTGAATGAGTGACATTGAAGCTATGATGACTAGGGTTTGGTCATCTTTGTTCTCTTTTGTTCTACTACTGGGGTTTCTGGAAGAATATCATGCAACAGAGCGTATGAATACGTAGACAGAGATGTGGTGTTCATGCCTGTAATTCTGTAGCCACATGCTGAATGAAGGCCTGGTGGGGCACACCTCCCATCCAGCCTTCTGCACAGCTCTGCACCTTCACCACGGCTGCTCACAGTGCTGCAGATGGAAGAGGAAGACTGCAGTTCAACTTCCCCTCACAATCTGACCCTAACTTGTACTTCCCGCACCTCATTAGTGAGGGTGACCGTTCATTATAATTTGAACAGGAATTGAACACTGGGACACTTGGTTGTGCTGTTTGGGAACATTGTAGAACCTTCAGGAGATGGGACCTTGCTAGAGGAAGTAAAGTCACTCAAGGGTGGGCCTCGAGTTTTATTATCTCCTTCCTGACCTCTCCCTGTTTCCAGACGGCTTCCTGGATGCAACCAGCCACTTCATGTCCTTGTCATCATGCCTTACTGGCCATAATGAACTTCATCCCTTCAAGCCCGGGCCAGAAATAAACCTCTTTTCCTATAAATTGTTTCTTGTCAAGGATTTGGCCACATCGATGAGAAAAGTAACTAATGCATCACCTATCTGGTTGTTTTGGTCTCATTTATTCCACACTGCCACTAACCAGTTGGCCCCCAACCCCTCCGATGTATCATTTGCTTCTCTGGCCTCAGTCACCATTTCTGACTTCTGTCTCAGAACAAGGCATTAAAGTGTCCATACACTAAAAGTGTCTGTTCTTCCTGGCCAAGGTTAGTCCCCCTTAGTTTGTTATCTACACTGCCTACGTAAGTGAACTTCAAAACATTACACATACATGGAATCACTCATCTTTTAAGAATACACTGTTGCATAGTGTTAGATTTACATTTAATATAGCATAAAACTAAAAACAAGTAAAAATCTGACATAAAACTTAGGTGTTAGGTGCAGTTACTGGAAAAATCTCTAAGATAACGAACATCATAATCAGTCACCACCTTCTGAAGGAGAAGCTTCCCCAATGAGGGTTGAGTGATGCACTGATTTATGGGTACAATAGGCCATTAGGAGTCATTTTACATTGTTCTTTTAGCAGAATAATGTAGCATGCTCTCACCTGGGATCTGTTACCTGTCTAACCACGTGTTCTTTGTCACTGACAGTGACAGGTATAGATTACATCTTGTGGGGCGGGCCTTAAACCTAACGTTTAAGAGGGATTGGTTGCTCCCACAACATTTATGACACCATTGCACCTGTGCACATATTTTGACAGACGGTTATTATCATGGCTTGGAGGCTCACAGCCAGGTGAGACTGAGATGATTTTCACCCCAGCGACATGCTGAGTCAGTGACCGTGCTGCTGCTGTGATGAGACACCGCAGCAAGGCAAGTTAGAGAGGAGTTTGTTGTGGTTCCAGAGTTAAAAGTCCATCATGGCAGCAACTGTGGCAGGAGGAGTTTGGCCCAGCAGCAGGGACAACTGAGAGCTCTCATCTCAACTACTAAAAGGAAGCTGAGAAAGCCGATTCAGAGTGGTGAAAGTCTTTAAACTCTCAAACCTGTTTCTAGTGACATACTTCCTCCAAGAAGGCTACATGCCTCCTCAGTCCCCCAAAGAGCACCATTAGCTGGGGACCAGGTACTCAAATTCCTGAGACTAGGGGACATCTCATTCAAGCCCCCACACAGATATGGTAGTTTGTAATACTGTGAATGCTTGCTTACAAGTATAAACACTGGGGAGTATCTGCGCTGTAACTGGGGAACGTGCTAACTTCCTCTGCTGTGGAACAATTCTTCTGTACATTGTAAAGATGTGTTGCTATCATTGTTAATAAAAACTTGCTTGGCCCATTGCTAGGCAGGATTTTCGGGGCTGAGCGAATGCTGGGAGGAGGAAGGGTGGAGTCTGAGGAGTTACCAGCACACACACACAGAGAAGCAAGATGAGTGTGCCCCATTGGAAGAAGGTACCACCATGTGACAAGGGGTAGATGAGAAATGGGTGAATTTAAGTTATATGAACTGGCTAAAAACAAATCTAAGCTATCAGCCAGGCATTTATAATTAATATTAAGTCTCTGAGTGGTTATTTGGGAAGCAGTTGGCGGAACAGAGCTATCGTGGTCCCAATGAAAACTGCCTACATTTCTCAGTATTCAAAAGGTTTCAGGGTTCACTAAGGAAAACATCCTATGTAAATATGGAATAACATCCCAGGTCCATCTCTTAGCCACACCAGAAGACTGGGACATTTGGAATCCTGATAATACTGAAGCAATGGGAAGTGTTCTGTGAATGTTCCGGGTGGGTGGAGGGAGGGGTGCGCTGTGAAGGTTCCGGGTGGGTAGAGTGTGGGGTGTGCTGTGAAGATTCCGGGTGGGTAAAGGGTGGGGGGTGCTGTGAAGATTCCGGGTGGGTAGAGGGAGAGATGTGCTATGGAGATTCCAGGTGGGTAAAGGAGGGGTGCTGTGAAGGTTCCAGGTGGGTACACTGGTTAAGAAGCCTGTCTGAATTGCTTTGCCTAGACTTAATTGCCTAACACACCAACTTTGGGATACCTCTAAGCAGTTGAAAAATGCCTGTGGCCTCTTTGCCTATGCCTTTGAAAGCCAGCGAAGCATATTTGCACCCGAATAAATCACCCCTATAAATCCAGAAGGGCCTTGATGCCTGACTGCTGATGCTTTAGCTTTGAGGCAGAGGTGAAAGTCTTCAGGAATGTGAGCTTGCCAACATCAAACCCTGCCACTCCATCAACACCAGCCTAGGCTGAGAGACCAAGCCAATGCTCATTCTATCATGTGAACTACGTGATAGACTTACACCCCGAGCACGGCCGGCATGTCTCCCTCTGTCAAGGCACACAGTTATCCTTGTGTCAGCACTGTCCGTGCAAATGACACAGATGTCCTGACTTCTGTCTTAGTTAGTTTCTATTGCTGAGATGAAACACCATGACCAAAAACAGGTTGGGTTGGGGAGGAAAGGTTTATTTGGCTCATACTTCCACATTGTAGTTCATCATTGAAGGAAGTCAGGATAGGAACTTAAACATGGCAGGAACCTGGAGGCAGGAGCTGATGCAGAGACCAGGGAAGGGAGCTGCTCACTGGCTTTCTCCCTCCAGGTTGCTTAGCCTGCTTTCTTATAGCACCCAGGACCACCAGCCCAGAGATGGCATTACCTACAATGAGCCAGACCCTTCCACATCAATCACTAATTAAGAAAATACCCTATAGTTTGTCTGCCGATCTTATAAAGGCATCTTCTGAGTCGAAGCTCCTGCCTCTCCGGTGATGTTGTCTTGTGTAAAGTTGACATAAACCAGTGGGCACAGCTCTCCTCCGTAAACTCAGACGAGACGGCAAATGCATGGTATTGATATGAACGACACACCCTTCATTAAGCAGGAGTTAAAAGGTCAGAGAGTCACCACTCTTTCTGTGACCTGGGAGCCCACAGTAATCATCTCCTGCAGGACTGTAAAGGAATGTCAGGAAAAGCCTGGCTAGCATCAGTGAGCCCTGGCCAAAGGTAGAATTTAAACAAGGGGGTGGAGACTTGAAACAGATCCAGTCAAGAGTCAGCTTGGGAGAAAGGAAGTTAGGTCAAAAATCACAAAGTTTGGTGAATTTCTCTGTCTTCAGAATTTAGGGCTTTGACAAATCCATACATCAGGATACTATTATGAGAACATGCATCACTACTTCTTGAATATGCTAATTTTTGTTGTTTTGGATTGTCTTTATTTAAGCTGTGAGCACTTAGTCATGATGTTGCTAAGAATTATGACATATACCAGAATACAATTATCTAAACAGCTTTTTAAAATATGACAGTTGGAGTTTTACATTTCTGGCTCATGCAATGAGTTTGCAGAAATTCAAACCTTGGCTGATGGTTTTTCCAAACCCATTTGACGCTATCATTTGCCTCTGGCAAAATTAATAAAATATGTTCCCAATAAATCTGGAAGATCACAAAGACACTGGCCCTACTCCTAAATGAAATGGGTTCAAAGGCTTCTGTAACACCAAGCCTGGGTAAGTAGCGCGGTGATTCCCATGGAGGGTGTACAGGAAGACAGCAGCAGCCTGGCTAGACCCGGCCTCCCAGATAAAGCCCTGAGACACACAGACTCACTCTGGGACAGGAACTGGCCTTCCGCAGCTTTGTCTTCGTGCCCACCATAGTCCCTGCTGGACAGCTGCCTGTTGGCTGTCTCCAGCCGATCTACAAACAAAGCAGAAATGAGCCTAAGTCATCACCCAACAAAGAAACACGGCCAGTCCCAAAAGCTGCAGATGAGGGGGGAGATGATCAGGCAGGGGCCCAGACTGAGCAGTCTGGAGGTATTCTCCAAGCTATCGTGAGAAAAACCTGGTAGGGCTGGAAATGAGCTCAGTCCGCAGAGTTCGTTCTGCACATCATAATGACTGGAGCTTTCACTCATGTGAAAGCTGCATCTGGCGGCTTACATCTGTCACCCAGCTCTGGGAAGTGGAGACAGAAGCTCCCCAGGGCTTGATGGCCAGCCAGCCTACTTCTATCAGCCAGCTCCCAATTTAGCAAGACCCCCACTCTCCAGGGCGAAAAAAAAAAGCAGGGTGAGGCTAGCCAGAAAGCTTGGCAGGTGAACAGGCTAACAATGAAGCCCAGGCTACCTGAGTTAATTCCCAGACCCACAAAAAAGCCAGATGCAGGGGTTGCATCTCTAGCCCCAGTCCTCTTGTGGAGAGTCAGGAGAATCACCCACAAGCTCGTCAGCCAGTTAGCCTGGAGCATGAAGTATGGCAGAAACAGCAAGAGTGACCGTGCCTCAACAAGGTAGAGAAAATCAACTCTCCAAAGTTCTCCTCTGAAGTAAACACACAGACACACAGACACACACACACACACATACACACACACACACACACACACACACACACACACGCATGAGCACACATAACAAAATTAAAAACAAGGTGGAGAATGGCCACGGAAGACCCAGCAGTGACAGCATGAGGAGACCAGGTTGCACCTCGGAGATCTCTGTTGAAGTCGTGAAGTCTCCGGATCTCGCCTTCCAGCTTGTTTCTCATTGCCTTGTCGAGAGACTCGCGCTTGCTGGTGGACTTGACCAGGCTCTCGTAGGCTTCTGAGATCCTCTGCAGCTCTTTTTCAAACTGTAAGACAGACTTGGCATTAAAGTGGAATTTGTGGCAGGGCCTGCGTGAAGCTGGCTGCTCAGCACCCTGCGGATGAGGCTGCATCGTGGACGCCTTTCTGTACCTTAGATTTCACATCTACTCCATTTTGTTCCTCGTTCTGCCCTGTAAGAGCTATAGTGATCCTATCCAGACAGTCTGTCAAGTCTGGCCACACTGTCTAACTTCACCCAGTGAAGTCTCTTGGTACTGACAAGGGTCAGGGTGAAGCTAAACATAACCAAAACATCCCTTTTAAAATATTTAATTTATTTGGTTATTGTTATCATTATTATTATTGTTATTATTATTGTTGTTGTTGTTGTCTGTGTGTGTATGTGTGTGTGTGTGTGTGTGTGTCCAAGGAGTCCAGAAGATGGTGCTAGATCCTCTGCAGGTGGAGTTCCAGGCAAATGTGAACCACACAGTAGGGGTGCTGGGAACTCAGGTCCTCTGCAAGAGCAGCAAGCACTCGACCACTCTCCAGGCCCCTACATAGCTTATTTTTGTAGCATGGTTTGTAATGATTTAAGCTCCAATTCCACATAAGGAAGGTGTTAAAGTGGGGGAAAACATAAGCATTCTGACCGTAACTCAGATCTACAGACTCTAAGCACATTGTTCTTTCCGGAGACCCTGCCCCTGCCTCTGCGCTGACTGTTGTCTGCGAAACAGCGCTATGGAGAACAAATGGCTTTGAAGCTAACTCTAAGCAGATGTGCAGTGGGAAACCTCTTCATGCGAAGGCGTGATGGGGGATGGGACTGCCACTGTAATTTTATTTGTTAATATTTTACTAGGTCAAGAAAGCTGACCATGGAGCCTTTAACCACTGTCACGCCACTGCCACAGCGGAAGCCTAGCATAGCAGAGTTTCCAAGGGGAAACCAACAGCTTCGAGCAGCGCCGTGTAGCAGAACAGACGAGACGAGATGAGAGCAAAGACCCGGGCCCAGCCTAGGTGCCCACCCAACAGACAAATGGGGAAAGGAAATGGACTGAACACACAGGGAAGTTTTGCTCAGCTATGAAGAAAAATGAAGTTATGGCATTTGCAGAGAAATGGTGAAAGCGAAGCAGGCCATACTGAGAACCACAGTATGTTTCTTTTCTTATAACTGATTATAGTTTTGTTTAAATCTAGGTGTACAGAGCATGAAACTTGAAAGGGCTGTGTGAAGGAAGAAAGGGACACATAGCAGGGAGACAAGATTGTGTAACAGGGTAAAAGGGCTGTACACAAACACATATGTCAAGGCTTAGTGTGTGAAAACGTCAGGGTGGAACCCACTACTTTGTAAGCCAACTACAGAAGTTAAATGACTGGAATGATACAAAAAATAGTGTGTGTGTGTGGCGGCGGGGACTGAAAGAGACTAGCCCATGAGGAAAGGCAGGCGACGGCTGAACCTCAACCATGGGTAGCAAAGCACTGTGCCATCCATCACCTTTGTCACCGGAAGGCCAGAGCCAAGTTTTCAGTCCCTCCATGGAATAGGCATGTCCTCTAAGGAGGGTGGAGCTGAGAGATCAGGTCCTTTGGTACCATGAGACTCTCCCTTAGGCCTCCTTCTACCGAGTTGGCTCTTTCCTTTGTCCACTCCTGAACAATGCCTTCCTGCTTCTTCCAGAGCTGCCATGAGTGGTGGGTGGTGTGTCCTAAATCGTGTTCACAGCACGGCTGCATGCAAAACAGGAAGTGCCAAGACAGGCCCTCAGCATCATAAGATCTCTATGAGCATCCTTGTGCTCAGAAATGAAACTCAAGCATCCTATAGTGTCCTGGCAATAACAGCCCATCATTTACCTCTCTCCTTCCCACAGCCCATCAAATTACCTCAGCATGTCACGTACCTTGTGAAGCTTGTCGGCATTGTCATAGCAGCCCTGAAGCTCCTGGTGAAGCACACGGTTCTCCTCTGTGAGGATCTCCACCATCTGCTGGGCTCGCTCCACGATTGCAAAGGCATCTGGTCCAAGCTGCTGGCTAGGGGAGGCGGGTGGAGGCTGTGGAGCAGCAGCCAGGCTCATGGGAAGAGGCAGAGGCAGGGAGACGGAGTGCAGCGGTCCACTGACGGAGGACGTCTGAGAGGACATGGGACTGTGCTGCTGCACCGTTGATGGAAAGGGAAGCTGGCATGGCCGGCTGTGGGAAAGAGAGGCCCAGTCGTCAGACTCCAGAGTTAGTATGGGAGAGGAAGGAAGGTCACCAGCACAGGCATGGATGGTGGCGTCCTTTGGCCGGGCTCGCACATGCACTTCCCCACACTCAACTCAGCTGTAAATTCAGGCACTTACTGTATGCTTCTCCCCAGCTTTGGCTACTCAGCAAACAATGGACAAGCCGACAGGCGAACCGTGCTAGAATTCGACAAAGCGGATTGTACCCTCCAAAGAAGAGAACTCTGGAGGAGCTACTTCTATGGAAGAGGTCAGGGAGAGAGTCTCACAGGCAGAAATTTGGGCTGAAGTCTGTAAGGCAGCCAAGAGGGAGCAGTGGCTCGGATGGAAGAGTGAGACGGGAGAAAGTTGTGCTTCAGCTAGAACTGGCCAGTGCGCAAGACCCACGGCAGAAACCAGCGGCAGCCAGCATCACCGAGGAGAAGGAACCAGCGGCAGCCAGCATCACCGAGGAGAAGGAACCAGCGGCAGCCAGCATCACCGAGGAGAAGGACGCAAACCCATGCAAAGCACCGCCAGCAGACAGCAGTGCCTGGGCGAGCCACAGCTGCACCTCCATAAGGGGCTAGTGGGGGCTACCTTGCTACATGAGGGGCTAGTGGGGGCTACCTTGCTAGGAGTGGTGTGCTGAGAACTCAATCACAGGGCAAAGCCCTGAGAAGGAGGTTTGGGTAAGGCCCAGGAGAGAAGTTCTGTGTATATGAAGGATGAAGAGATAAGAAGGGAGGAAGATAAAAATATTATTTGGGGCTTAGCAAGAATTGGGAAGTGGTACTCATTAATCGAATGGGACAGTGTAGGCAAAGATCTGTGCTCCAATTTGTCTGTTCTGGGGTCTACACATCCAGACTTCAAACCTAGCCTGATGACCAAAAGTACCCAATGGTGTCCTTTAAAGGATGAGCTCCTGGTGTTTGGCTTCAAGGTGAAATAACAAATTTCCACCTCCTGTTTCCATCTCCTCCAAATTCTGCCTTCGCTATTCTGCTACCCTGCATCATGAGCCCCACACAGCAACCTCATGAGAACACACACATAAGCCCTCATGGGAACACATGGCACATAAATCCTCATGGGAACACACAGCACATAAATCCTCATGGGAACACGTGGCACATAGGTCTCGTCTGGTTCTCCCATCCCTACTGCCTCTCTTCTACAGAGACAGAGATTTAACCTTCACGCTAATCTCTACTTCCAGGCCTGGGAACTGGAGGGGAGGTGACGAGACTTGACTGACAGCAGGACAGTTGTGTGTGCTGGCATCGGCCCATAATCCCAGCACTGGGGAGGCGGAGGCAAGAAGATAACCACAAGTTTCAGGAAAACCTGTGTAAGGTAAAAGGGACAACTGAAGCAGGAAACCAACCAATCACTGAGCACCCTGACTCTGAACCCACAGTAGAGAAAGAAACACACCCTACATTTGAGACCTGGGCCAGGGAGAGAAACATCTTTATCTCTGAGCCCAGGACTAAAGACATGTGCCCTGGCTCTGAAACCAGTGTCAAAGAAACATAAGTTGTCCTTAGAATCAGAGCCAGTGAAAAAAATATGCCCTGGTCCTAAGATTAGAGTCAAAAAGCTAAAAAGAACTTGAATTTGACTTGCTTATGATGGTCACAGTAGCCAAGGACAGAGTCAGCCCAGGTGTCCATCAATGAGTGAATAAACTATACATACATGCTCATACACACACACAGAGTTCATGGCGTCAACTGGCAAGTGTACATCCATATAAAACTAGTGGTTTTTTTTCCCCAGAAAGAAAGATGGAACTGGGGACATGACCAGCAAACTTAGCCAGTCCCACACAGCTACACTTCACATTTTCTCTCATCTGTGGACGTGAGTGTAGGGTAAAAGGGACAACTAGAGCAGAAAACCAACCAATCACTGAGCACCCTGACTCTGAACCCACAGTAGAGAAAGAAACACACCCTGGATTTGAGACCTGGGCCAGGGAGAGAAATATCTTTATCCCCGAACCCAGGACTAAAGACATGTGCCCTGGTTCTGAAACCAGTGTCAAAGAAACACACTTTGTCCCTAGAATCAGAGCCAGTGAAAGAAATATGACCTGGTCCTAAGATTAGAGTCAAAAAGCTGAAGAGGACCAGTGAAAGAAACACAGTTTGTCCATGAAGTCAGAGCCATCTCTGCCCCTGACCAGCTAAACTGACCAATCCCTGAGCAGGGAAAAACTAACCAATCCCCTTCTCTCTGGGAAAACTCCTCCCCTAAGAAGCCCTATAGAAGCCTCTCCACCCTTCAGATAAGAGCTGCCATTAATCCCTCCCTGGCAGAGGCAACCACTCTCCTGGACTCCTCCTTCCCAAATAAATCTCTTTCTCGAAAGAGTCTTGGGTGATGACCTTCATTCTCAGGCACAGAGCAGAAGAACCTGGCTGAGATATCCCTTAGGGGACTGAGCTGAAAACCCTTGCTGAGATGCTCCTGAGGGGGCATCAGCAAGGCAGAGCAGAACAGAAGAACCTTTCTAGGAAGCTCCTTAAGGGGGCTGAGCAAGGCCAGCAGAAGAAAAGTAACAACTTTTGCTGCTGGAGGAGATCGCTACATTTGTGCACCTGGCTTCCCTTCAGCAGAGTGTTAGCAGAAGAAACATCTTGGGCTCGAGAAGAAGCAGATAGCTCGGCTAGGACGCTCCTGTAAGGGAACAGAGCAGAGCTCAGCTGTAGCTGCTTTCCAGAAGAGCAGGATCCCTATATCCTGCGGGGAGACCATCCCCCACTGCACCCCAGCTTCAGGCAGCCTGGCTCCCTGATAGTCAGGACACCTTTACTCCAGAGCTGAGCTGTCCCATTGCAGCTCCAGCCTCTAAGCTGTCCTATTGCAACTCTACCCACTCCAGAGCTGTCCCATTGCAGCTCCAGCTTCCAGAGCTGTCCTCCTGGGGCTCTGAGTATATCCTGGCTTCCTGATAAGTCAGGATATCCCAACACCACTACTGTACCACATTCCCCTACAGTGGGCTACATATGGTGAGTTACAGGATAGCCTGGACTACAGAGTAAGACTCACATGTCTCACAAAACATAAATAAATCTGACAGCAATCCAAAAGTGCTGGAGCGTAGTGCCCTGAGAGACACAGAGGCACAGGGACTGAGCCATTCTCTGTAATTTTGTTTCCACGACGTGCACCTAACCTAATTCTCCCTCTGCATGGCCACTGCTGCCCTAACCTCCCTCTACCCCTCGGTGGCCTGTTATGGCCAGCCTTATGCTATTTATTCTTACAAATTTATACTTTTAATATTACTCATTATTTCATGCCTATGACCATTCTTCTACCTAATCATCAGTGTGTAACCTTTCCAAGGATAGACGTTTTGTAACCTTTTCAAGGATAAGTTTATAAATGACTTAACACACAGTCATTTCGGTTCATTGATTTAATCCCCAACTCTGAGATCAAGTTGGTTCCTATCTGCTTGGTTGCTTTTCAAAGAAGAGACAAACCTTCAACACTATGTGATGAAGGAGATAATGCCTGCCAATCACAATTACTTAGAATCTGGGATCATGAAGATCCCCACATAGTAACAGGGACTCTGCCTTCTGTGTGGGGCGGTCACAAAACTGAAATAACGGTGTTACTCGGTGCGGAGAAACAGGTTGTTAGTAACATGTTCCTCTCAACATGGAACAGTTTTCAGAAGCGTACTAGACACGTTTTTACATTCTACCAGCAAACAGCTGTGTCATGAATAGCGCTGATTTAATCTGTTTCTCCCCAACCTGGGCATCCACTGTTCCCACACCAGGTGCACCATTATTCTGTCTCGCTGGTGTGCGAATTAAAACTCACAGGATTTACAGGGGAACCATGGCGCTGACATTCTGACAAAGCTAAAAACACTTCCCAAGGCACGCACACCGCCACACCAGGGCCCCTCTGTCAGCACCACGGAATGGAGGCAGAAAACCAGGGCAACTCTAAGGCACTGCCGGGGCACATCAGGGCACGCCACCTAGCCCAGGTCTCTCTCTGCTGTCCAAAACAGAAAGGTCTCCGAGCACTTACAAGAGCTCTGGGTAAAAGCATCAGAATGTAGACCTGAGTAAGAAGGAAAACATCTCAATGGTTTTTATACTAATTATTTGCTGACAGATAATATTTTAGATACCTGGACCTTGATATATCTAAGTGCTGCGTACATGTTTGTGTGTGTGGATGTGTGCACAAAGATTTGGGCACATGTTCTGTTTGTAGGCCAGAGGTCAAGATCAGATGTCACTTCTGAACCACCCTCTGTCCTCATTCCTTGAGACAGGGTCTCTCACAGAACCTGAATCCATAGATTCAGCTGGGCTGGCTGCTTCAAGAATCCTCCCGTCGCTGTCCTCCCAGAACTGGGCTTACAGGCAGGTGACATCATGTCATGTTCTAGGAATCCAAACTCAATGTTCTGAGTTGTATAGCAGGCATTTTACTGGGTCATGCCCTTAGCACAAAAATGTCTTTTAAATGTTTTAAGTGAATTAACAGATAGATTTCTAAATAAATTTCATCTGTATCTTTTATTTATTAATTTTAAAAAAAAGGGATGGCAAGGTGGTTCAAATTGGTTAAGAGCATATTCTGTTCTTGCAGAGGGCCAGAGTTTGGTTCCCAGCACCCACACTGAGTGGCTCACAACTGCATGTAACTCCAGTTCCAGCAGATCTGGCACCATCTTCTAGTCTCTGAGGTGGGCACCACCACATGTGGCAAACAGATGCACGCGCGCGTGCGTGCACGCACACACACACACACACACACACACACACACAGTTTAAAAAATAGAAGGGTGTTAAAAAATAATTTTCCAAAGCAGAATGTATGAAGACCTCCAACTGAAGAGACAACCAGCCTCCAAATTACAGATCTTCTCAAAATAGATTAGTTCAATTAAGCATCGTAAAATTAAATATTAGTAAACATTAGTAAAATTAAACATTT